GCATCTGCATATTAAAATGGGAACATTTCTTTGCAAGATAATGGGTTCTTCAAACTAACCAATCCGGCCAAAATTTTGACATACCAAGACCAACTGGAAATTAAAATTGCAATGTTTTCCTAAACTTTTCCAAATTTGATTGCATTAAGTTTGTCGTACTTTCAATTGACGCACAACCGTTCATTGCAAAACTTTAATGAGGTAGATCAATTTTGCAACTGAAAACGAGTTGCATAACTACCCCCGCACTTGATAGCTACTGTCTGACAATGAATTCTCCTTTCACAAATACAGTGAATTAATTCAGTTGCCTTGATTTTATTCATTAGATCTTCTCTATGTAATACGTATACTACTACATCGGATTTCAAATGAGTGTATATGTTTACACTGGGTATATACAAACTCCCATTATAATAAACAAATAATAAGCAAGGACGGTTCTTCACTCCATAACGTCGGTCACATTTACGATATTTTCAGTCAGGGACGACGCCATATTTACAAAAAATACATTGAATGAGATAGTGTAATGTAGTTTGTTAATTGTATTTATTTTTTAAAAAACGATAAAGGTACCTTAAAAGTAATTAACAAATTGTTGATACAGCACATACCGTTTTGTTTGGAATACAGTAGAAAGTACTGAAACAAGTATAAACACAGGCGATTAAATCGATGATTCATTTTTCAATCGTTCGATATGCATATTCATTGTTTTGCTTTCCTTAACCTTGATTTGGCACTCTTTTAATTTAAACGATCGGTACTAAACAAGTATTTTCACCTGTTGTTCATTCGACATTTTGTTCTTGAGTAATTTTTGTCCCGTTTTAGCTAAACATTGTTGCTTATGTATGAAAATTATACAATGTGTATCAGTAATAGCGCAAACTGAATTGATTAGAGAATTTTTTGCTTCACACTTTCATTTGAAACATTTTTTTGTAAAGTTTAGCTATGAAGAAAATGTCAATACTCGAAATACTTATCGGACATATTTTCCAGTATCCAGGAAATTTGTCCGATACGCATTCGGGCGTTGTGCGCTGGTGCACCATCCTGTTGAAACCAACATTTCCAACTTTTTTGTGTGCTGTATCGTTGTGTTCGCAATTAAACATTGTGAACATTTCTCAACGGTATCTTATAGAGCATACAAAGTAGCAGTAGGAAAGTGTTTTTCTTCTTGTATCTGTTCTAATAACATAAAAAAAAACAAATCTGCAAATTTAAGTTTTTCTGTTCTATTTTCCGAAGTAATCGGAATTTTCTGGTTTTCTTTAAAACATGATAATGACTTTTCAATTGGGCATCTTTTCTCTAATTGGACCATCGTCTATGGTTTCGGAGATCCCCGTGATAGACATCCTTATCTTAGGCACCGTATAAGTTTTCAAATGTCTGCAAGAGTTTTCAACAGCTTTCATGATTAAATTGATCGGAGTTTTTACCATCTCGTTTTGGTCGATTGACCCGCTCGCTTTACATACAAATCAAACATCTCAAGTTGTACAGTAAAAATCAGACAATCGAGCCAAATGCGGGCAACAACCCGTAAAATGATAAATTGCATGTACATAAAAAACCTCAAAACGATATGGCTCTACGCCAGCATCGGCTTTCATAAAAAAAGTGTGGCGAACTTCGTTAGTTCACGCATCAACCGTGAACTTTAAAATTAATTAAACAGAAAATTTAAAAAACTTTTATTAAGGAAGAAAAACAACTCAATAAGTTCCACGGCAGTGTACAACGGCGGATAGGTCAACTCGGGATGCTGCAACCTTTACTCCAGGTCGTGGTCGGGAGTAGGAATGGTTTGGCGGATCGGTCTCGGGAGACTCTAACAAACTCAATCAGAGTAAACGACAGCTCCAGGAATTTTGCCGGCCGATTGCTGGTGAATACTGAAACAAAATTAAAGCGCACAGCAACTTTCTTAAGCGGGAATGAAAGCAAAACAAATTAACGGTATCTACGAGAAAGCAAATGCAGGAAAGCAAAACAATGCCCCCCCCCCCCCCCCAAATCAATGGAACAGGAGATAACAAAAAGCTACTCGTAATTAAAGGGAGTGGTAAAAATTACTGGGCAAGAAAAAGCAAAAACTGTAGATACGGTGCGGTAAAAGCAAAATGCAAGAGAAATTTACGAAAAAGCTCAAAATTACGGTACTTACGAAACGTCACTTGCGAAGATGGAAAAGGCAAAAGATCCCGTCTAACCAACCTTTTATAAAATTCGGATATGCCATGGAGGGAACGACATCCAAAAATTAGAACTTCTTTCATTAATTGTGCGGTGTGCGGACGGCCCGTAATGGATCTTAACATTTAAATTAATTAAGAGCGCCAAAATCTACCAAATAATTACTTAACGGAGGTGAAATTCTAAAATATTAATTCGCTTCGTCTTCTATTACATGAGAGCTTTTGGACGCAACAAACATAATTCAAATATCTTGACGGGAACGATTGCAAACGGCGCATTAATTACAGTTATTGTTTACGTTAGCGGCGGTTGAAACACAACTGTAGAAATTAAAGCAAATAAATTTACCTTCTATCTTCAATTCCTAGAACCAACACAAATATTTTCGACACGATGCTTTTCGTAACCGGGCGCCTCTAGATACCGGATGTTCATATGCAGAGTGTTCACCAAAACTGGATGCTTCGTTACAAAACTACATGTGAAAATGCCATAAATATTCTTTACTTCTATTATCTCAAACAGAACCACATATGAACAGAAGAAAAGTTAATTAGAAGAACTTCCTTCTCGTATTGCTAAGACACCAGAGCTGCAGTCCGCACGAGATAAAAAAGAATCCAACAGCATGATGGATCTTTTTACATGGAAATAAATGTTTAATCGACACATACAGGGCAATATCATAGTGATAACTGATAATATACTTTCACCCGTATGCATAATTAATAAAATAATATACTGTACATAAAAAACAAACATGATTCAGGAACACTACTCCTACTCAAAACAAAAGCTTGGAACACGCCATGCGACAATAAATAAACATTCAGGATTCTGTGCAAAATCTAAATTATAATAAATTGTGACATGATTTCAAAGATTGATGGTTAGTAGGAGAAAGAATTACTATCTGTAGATACACTTTTCAAACAAAATAAACATTGAGAAAACCCCAGCAAGCGATCACACTACTCCGCCATCGGAACTAGTGATCCACGCACACTTTTTGGCAAACTTCGTCGTGAATATCTTCTGTTCTTCGGCATCTGCACAGAACAGTTGAAGATGAAGACATCACGATTGTTGTATACACAGAATGTTTCGTATATTTCCCATACTGACATTCTTTCAGATGTAAGGTGTGTTGCCTAACCATAGGGGTAGAAAAGGGAACTGCGAACAGACGTTGCAGAAGAATGACAAGCCTGTGAAATATCTGTCTGTGAAGAAGACGTGTAGAACAGATGGGGTAGGAAAGTGTAGAGAGAACTTCTTAAGAAAAAGAAATTAAACAAGGGAGATGTAAATGAAGAAATTGTGAAGGCAAAAAAACATAAACATGGTAAGATCTGTGAAGGAAGGACGAGTGAGAAAATAAGAACAAATCCCTGACGTAGACATAGCCTAAGCGGACACCAATGGCAATAGGTAACATCTTAAAGAGCCACAAAGGAGAAATTGGTGGACTCGCGAAGGAAGAATGCACTAAAAATGAATGAGGAATATACCTAATATACCTACCTAAAGAATATGGAGTCGTAAATGTATGTACATATGCACCTGATGCATGTAGTACCATATTACTGTGACTGTATCATTCATAGTAGTTTTTATTGTCAAAAAATGTTAAAATGCACTTCTCTTGGTCGATGACAAATTTATCAGTGTTTGAATGCCCAAAATCCGCAATTTTCTTTGTGGATACGGAGAAACGCTTTTTCGAAGGCTAAATATTTAGGGCTTATGATCACGATCAAGGTTTCGGTTCAGTAGCTGCTCAAACATTTCATTTAACTAATTTTTTTTAGTTTAAATATTAGGAAAATTCGTAAAAAAAAGTGGAAGATTTGGCCACTCGTATTTCCATTTGCTGTCTGAAAACCACTTACCCAAAACAATGAAAGATGAGATGTCGTAGAAGGTTTTTAGCAAATAGGTCATAAATAAATAATCCGAATGGACTTTCATTTTTCTTTTATGGCAAAGAATACACAAGGAGGAATCTAGCACCTAAGAAGTTAAACCGTTATGGTTATAAATTACAATAAAGGTCTTTCATGATATTAATTTACGCGAAACTCAAGCTCGAATATACCTACTGCTGATGATAAAAATCTAAAATTATGTTTACATGATCTTCTTGAAAAATAACGGTTCACTGTCTCTGTCTACATTTCTCCATATATAGCCGTTTTGCCGGCTGGAGTAGATGAACTCTGATATTTTAATGCATGCATCAAGGCCGTGTACTCGCGCGGAATTTACAAAATTTTTTCCCCTCCAACGGTGAATCTAGAGCAGGTCTCCTCCTCAACATTTGAATGCAAAATTACCATGATTTCGCGGAAGTTTGTTTGTTTCGATTACGCATTGTTGCAATGACGTCAAATTCGGCCGCCTTTCATTTCTGGTCCCGCGACCGTAAGGGTGCGGTAGGTAAGTAGAGCAGGAATGTCGTCATTCGACGTCAGTCTCGATCCCGCGCGAAGAATTTTGTCCAAATACAACGTACTTGGCCCAAATCGGCGGAGATGGCATTATCGAAAACCGGCCGACATTGGAATTTTGCGCCACACTCAAATAAATCGCAACATTTTTACCTTCAAACGCTATTGTTAATACCAAGGCAACTCTTCCGTTTAAACTAATTCATTTTTTTGCATAATCACATACCAAATATACGCATAAATGCGAAATTGAAAGGACGTGGTAATTAAAAAAAAAACTGATCTGATGGCCTTCAGTATACGTGAGAAATAATCGAGGTATTCTCTCATTTGCAGGTATGGTGAAAAACAGCGGCGAGCCAGCGTTGTGGAATTGACCGGCATTCAACTCCTCTCGGCTACCGCTTACCAACTGAAGAAGCCGTACCAACAGTTATTAATACCAATTACGGTATGGATTGGTATGGAGCAAGCGTTTATTGGAGCGGATTTCACCCAGGCATACGTTTCCTGCGCTTTGGGTATACCCTCAGTAGGCTACGTGATGATCTGCTTCGGAGTGGTGAACGCAATATGCAGTTTGCTGTTCGGATCTGTGATGAAGTACATCGGAAGGATACCGATCATTGCTTTAGGAGCGGGAATACATCTAGCACTTTGCACGTGGCTGCTACTGTGGAAGCCGCACCCGTCCAATCCCATTCTCTTCTTCGTCGCTTCCGGTCTTTGGGGCGTTGGAGACGCCGTATGGCAAACACAAATAAATGGTAATGCTCAATTTGCATACCTACTTAATAGGTATCATTTTCAGTAATTAATATAACTAGTTGAGAAAAAGGCAAGGCAGGTCGTGTAACCTACTCGCCTTGTCCGAAGCTAAAGACGGAACCAGTACAAACTGGATCTATTCTAACGGTTCTCTTTTGTTTAAATAATTGACGATCAAATTGCTTTGTTCTCAATTAATCCTTCTTGCAGGTCTCTACGGTACGCTATTCAGGCGAAACAAGGAGGCCGCCTTTTCGAATTATCGACTATGGGAGAGTTCCGGATTCGTTATCGCGTACGCCTATTCCACCCACCTTTGCGCGAAAATGAAATTGTACGTCATGCTTTCGGTGCTCGTACTGGGTATTCTCATGTACGTCATCGTCGAAATCCTGCACGCCCGAAAGGTCAGGAGACAGAAGGAGAAGGAGAGACAGGCCGCGCTGGACGAGGCGAGGAATAGGCCGCCGGAGCCCGAAGAGACTGATGATGAGAAGGATGATATTGATGATGACATTATTGTCACCCATCTTTAGATATGGTAAGTTGGGCTCTGTTATGCAATCGTGATCAAAGGGTGCAATTAAATTTGTTGGCGGTTCAAGGTACGCGTATACAACAGAGAGGTACGCAATTACCATATTTTGACCTTGGGATGCGTTCAATCTTCAATTACTGTCAGATCGTGTACCTATAAGCAATACTTTCTATCTTGTTTTGCAAGTATTGCATCACTACCATTCATACATCGATCACTCTACGATACCGGAGCGTTCAATATCGCACCAAAGTGCAAGTGTGATTCCAGTAGGTAACTATTGTGTGGAACTGTGGGTTGTAGGCAACCAACGTGCTAGTTCTGTACATAACAGTCGCGTTCCTCACAAAAGAATAAAAAATTGGAAACCCATGTTGAGATCAAAGCATCAAACCCAAGCTGCATGTTGACCGTAACTCACACCTTGATGTGTTGCACTCAGAAACACATGACCCCTTATCAAAAAAATTATCAAAGTCCTCGTGTGAGATCGAAGGAACTTCAACGCATTTTGTGTGGCAGATCACTGATCAGTGTTTTTATTGACTCCACACTCCACCATCAATAAGATCTTGTCGAAGGCTACCACATTAACTTTTTCAGTACCCGCTACCCACTTTCCGTGCACCCACAATTCACGTTTGCAGTTTTGACTCCACCCAGTGGCGTAACTACAATGCCTCAAAGGTACGCAATGAGGACGGGCCGCGACTTAAAAGGGGCCCCGACAAAAAAAACTGAAAATTTCACGAACTTCTTCAATGGTATGCTTCTATTAATTATTTACATAGGTATTTTCCGATACTAAAGGAAGAGATACAACGTAAGAAGTATAAATTATGCACAACTCTTGTCCAGATAAAGCGCATTTTTTTTAACCGAAATAGCTTTTGTTTTAACATCACACATGGAGTAGCATGAAGGATAAAAGTAGTTCCACTCCCCGCCTCCTCCAACTCCACCCCGTACTTTGATAAGAGTACAGAAAGAAGGGCAGTAGTTGGTACAAAACGGTTCATTTCGTTGAGACCTTTAATTAGAATACAATGAGAGATAAAAGTAATTTTTACCCCCCCCCCCCCCGCCAGGCTCCGTCGCTCACTGATTTCGAACAAGAGTCGCACGGGAAAGATATAGTTTGTACAAACCAATTTATTTCGATGAGACCTTTAATTAGAATACCATGAAGGGTAGAGCATGTTTTTACCCCCCCCCCCCCCCCCCCCAATAACTTGGCACCACTAAAGGCATTCGTATGCAAAATCTGAGACCAATTGGTTGTCGTATGTAAAAGTTATGCACCTTTTACTCTCAAAAACAGCATCTCACGAAATAATTCGCGGGGGGGCCCCTCTTTTAGACAGCGAAATTTGATGCCCGTCTGGCACACCTTCAAGGTATAGACTACCTACTGCAAAAAATTCCAGGACTCTAGGACCATTCCCCTAGAAGTAGTTCAAAACGGTAGAAGTGGGTGCGGACGGACGGACGGACAAAACGCAAACAATAGCACATTTTTTTAAGCATAATGCAGATGCCGTTTTATTTACGAAGGGCCATGCGCCTATTTGTTTTTATAATTTCCAATTACAGTCCGATGAAAATTCTGAATCATTGTTCATGGAGGGTAAATATAGGTAAAAAATCTGTATATCTGCAATATACAACAAGTACAAATTGTGCATAACTCTTGTGCAGGTAAAGCGCATTTTTTAAACACCCCTACGAAATTTCTTCCATAAATAAGAAAGTTGGCACTGCACATGCGCAAAACTAAATTTGGAAAATGGCGCTTATTCATGTGCTTTTATTCCAAGTGGCTTTGTATCAAATTTTATTTAAATGCCCAATGGTTATATTTCTTCCAAACGTCCCAATCGCCCTTTGTAGATACTTTCCTTTGACAATTCACTCTTAAGATATAAGGAATTATAACCGACCACGACAAGGGATCGAGGAGGAAGACTATGGTTAGTATAAATTAATTCCTTTCGTTTAGACCTTTCATTAGAGTACCATGAAGGATAAAACTAGTTCCACTCCCCCCCCCCTTCCCCCTCCACCCCGTACTTTGATAAGAGGACAAAAATAAGGGCAGTAGTTTGTAGAAAACTGTTCCTTTCATTAGAATGTAAAAGTTATGCACGTTTTACTTTCAAAAACAGCCCCTCAGGAAATAATTCGCGGGGGGGGGGGGTCATTCCCCTAGGCGTAGTTCAAAACGGTAGAAGTGGGTCCGGACGGACGGACGGACAAAACGCAAACAATAGCACATTTTTTTAATTCTTAAAAAATGGACTAAAAAACTGAAAAATCTCCAAGTTGGTATAACACACTCGTTTCTAAAGATGTTCATTACATAGCTCCGATATGTGCATGTACCCCATGTACACTCCTCATCTTTTTACAAGCGTTGTTCTACAGGCTCGCATTTACTGCCAGCCAGCCAGCCAGCCAATGAGAGATTAAAAGGCTACCTTTTTAGGGCATTATTGCAAATTTATTTGTAAAAAGGTAGCTTTTAATCTCACTTTGGTTGGCTGGCTGGCTGGCTGGATGGCAGTAAATGCGGGCCCGTAGAAGAATGCTTGTAGAAAGACAAGGAATGTACATGGGCCGTGTAATTAACAGCTTTAGGGACGGAACTACAGGATGTGGAGTCGGCGCCATCTGCCCTTCATCCCCGGGCGTGTAATTCTAACCTGGAGATTTTTCAGTTTTTCCTATCTTCTTCTACAGTTTTTCTCCGATTGTTTTCAAGTTGGTGTCGTCGGAAAGATCTTGTACGCGCACAACTCCTGCGTGGCGGAATTTTGTTTTTTTTTCCTAGGGGCGAAATTAACCACCTTTTGCACGGCGCGCTTCGAGAGGTTGTCGACTTTGGGCGCCAAAAAGTTTTTTAGAGCTCGAATTGCGGTCTCTCTTTCTCGTGTTGTTAATAGAAGCACGAGCTATGAGAAGTACCCAAAAATTGAGTAATATTTTGTGGAGGGTTTTTAGCGAAATCCACTAAAACGCGAATTGCGTCGTCGGAAGTGGTTACCAACAAATGGAATGTGGTAGTCCCCGAAAAGATTTTACTGATGGTGGAGTCAATACTTCAAACGCGAATTGCAGGTGCACGGGAAGCGGGTACCGACAAGATCGTATTGATACTGGCTAATAAAACACTGATCTGCCACACATGCGCTGAAGTCCCTTCGATCTCACACGAGGACTTCGATAATTTTTAGAAATAAATTTACTAATCAATCACTACACCTTCGTTGCCATTTTGATTCCCATATAACAACATGCGAAGCCATCTAAGAAATAAAACGTGTGTAAAACGGAAATGACAATAGATAATTATTGAATAACAATACGTTCAGGTCGCGTAGCCGTGACTAACAATACAAAGTTGTTTATTATGTTTTTGAAATATTTTTGCTTTGATAACAATTTATTGACTTTTGAAATGGCCCCATTTTTGTTTTAACTTTACTATATTTGGATCAACGGAGCGGACTGAAATTCTTCCACGTAGGTATATTGCGTTTTTCTGAGTCAAACATCTGTTTAGGTATGTGGGCTCTTTTATTTCCTCACGAACCAAAACCATAACACTCTGAAAACCAGAGATACATACAGAGCTTATTTTGTGACTAAAAGTTCATAAAGTTATATGTTTAGATACTGCGTTTGTCGCTATTAATATATCGTCAAAGTACAAAAGAATCATATTGTGCGTAACGCTGAAATGTACGTGGGGCATTTGTAAGCCCAAATGGCATTCAAACCGCCCATAGGGTTGTAACCAATAACGTGTATTTTATGGAATCCTTGTTCATATTCCCATGATAAAACGAATTTTTAATGTTTGGTTCTCTATTGGAGGTGTTGAGAAATTATCTTCATTGTTTTTTCTAACAAGGGCAATCGGTGATGCATACGAAGAGTCACGACATCTAATCATGTCTCTAATTAATTCATCAAAAATTTTATCTGATAAGAAATTCTACGTGGCCTAGGACTAGAACATTATCCTTGATCTCCTCCGAGTCCCAGCTTTTCACAATCATTAATGTTAATCGCCATAATTTCTAAAACATAACGACTTATGTAATTATTATTTGTTACAACATTTTTGTCTGATTTTTTTGTTATTGTAACATTATCTTTAAAGGTAATACCTAAACTGTCGTGGCCAATAACATCCATAAGTAAAATTGAACTAACAGGTGATATCTGGTACAACATAAAACCGAAGTTTTAATTACATTTAATTCGCTACCGTTAATACCTTTAAAGCCTTATATCTTCTATTATAAGGTACATATTTGTTCTTAATTCGACTGATAACACTTTGCTTTCAACAACATGGTGTATTTATAAATTATCAATAAAAGTAATATCAAATTTGGTTACATACGGTCTGATAAGTTCTGTTTCGACAACACTCACAGTTGTGCTGTCTGCAGCGGCAACATCTGAACAACGTGCCCTTCGAGCATCACACTCCGATGGTATGCAGTGCCGGATAGGGGGGGGGGGCAGAAGGAGGCAAGTGCCCCGGGCGGCACTCAATAGGGGCGGCAAAAGTCGGCATGGTTCGTGTAATTTTAATTTGCCCTGATCATTTGCATGTGGTTAGCTGTGTGTTAGTTTAGAAAGAAGGGCGGAAAAAAACCAAATTTGCCCCCGTGCTAAAAACTTCTAGATCCGGCACTGATGGTATGGTCGTGTCTACCACAGCGAAAACAGCTTCGTCGTTCCCTCTCCGGTTATCTACAATCTCACGATTTATGTCCATACCTGCCGCAATTGAAACACTTTATAGTTTTGCATTTCGGCTGCTCACTGGTTGAACCTGAGGTGTCATTTCGAACATAAAGCTTCCTCCTAGTCACGGTACTTTCGTTTTGCCTGTGTGTCACACAGTTCATAACGCATAACGAGCCTGCGATTGTAAATGTTTCTGATTAAATCCATCAATTATTTACGAGAACAGATCCTCTTCATTTAAATTTAAAGGGTTTCCTTGTCATTTTCTCATTGGTAATAATTTCCGAATGGTTCCCCACGTTTCCATCTTTTCTTTTCGAAAACTTTCACGGCCACGGTGTGTAGTAATTTATCTTCTATATTAGAAATTTCTCGGACCACGAGAAAACGTCGATTTGATCATTGTTACCATTAAAATTGGGAACCAATTCTGGTAATACTTTGCTTGAAATATTCGATTTCTGTAGCGTCCTTGCTTGAAATTCAAACTGCCCAAATATAGCACCTCGGGTCAAATCAGACCTGGGTCGAGCGTTCTTAAAAACCGCACGAACGACGAGCGCTCTAATTTTCTTAAATAATGCTCGCGAGCATCGAGTTGTTTTGCAAAGCGAAACCCCTTGCGAGTTCCGAGCACTCCTAAAAGTGCTCGAACGGTTTAATGTGAACGAATGCTCGGGAAAAGTACTCGTGAGCGAAAAAAAAGCGCTCGGGAGCGGAAAAAACGCTTGCGAGCGGCGGTTAATCCTTCAGCACTTGAGGGCGGTTAAAAGCGCTCACGAGCGCAAAAAGCACTCGCGAGCGGAAAAAGAGCTTGCAAGCGGAAAAAAAAGCTCACTAACGGAAAAAGCGCTCGGGAGCGGAAAAAACCGCTCGCGAGCAGAAAAAGCACTCGCGTGCGGAAAAAGAGCTCTGCGAGCGAAAAAAAGAGCTTGGAAGAGGAAAAAACGCTCATGAGCGGAAAAACCGCTCGTGGGCAGAAAAAAGCGCTCGAGCGCCGAGCAGTTTAAGTAAACGCTCGAGTATCAAGCACCAAGCGGTCGCTCCGAAAAGCGCTTTTTACGCTTGCGAGCAGTACCCAGCTCTGCGTCAATAGCCGGAATTTCACATTCCACCCCGAATCAATTGCCAAATTTGCCTTTGCACTCCGTGCCAATTGTCAAAATTTGACTGACCTTGCACCCCGGGCCGAAATGACTACTCATCGGTTAGAGTAAATGATCGAATCTTTAAGAGTTCTCCCTTACTATTTAATTGATAAAAATCTAAATCTTCAACACCCTTAAAGTATACGGTATGTCGGTATCCTACTGTTTTGAGTACAATACAACAATTTTTTCATTACCTTACTAACGTCATTGTCGCTTGTCCTTCAATCACGAAGTACTGATTGTTCCAATAGATTGGTCCAACTTTTGAAAAAGAGAATAAATTGATACCACGTCCTAGGTCCCGAATAATGAATGGCATCTTTGATTGCCGTTCCAATAACGGTCATCCGAAATTAGTTAAGTATATTATTCAATATACATTCAATTGCATCAGACGTGCAAAAGTTCACGACATGAAATTCTCCTTGGATATTAATATTACCAAATTTGATTTTGCGCTTCTAAGTGTATGCCGTTGTCCGTAATCGCAACAATATCCTCTATCTCGCAATTCTACTTTATTTAACACCCACACAATTTAAATTTTTGCACGTTTAATTTTTCTGGTGCCCGCATTTACAACTGGTCAACAAAAATTTAATTTACCAACTGCCGAAATATAAGCGTGCACCCTGGGCCAACTGCCAAAATTACCCCGGGTCAATTGCCAAAATTTGACCTTGCATCACTCCCGGGCCAATTGCCAAAGTTACCTCTTTATTCTGAAAATCCCACACGACACAGGGGGCACAGGTAACGACAAAACATATCCGGTAACCTGAGACAATCACACCGTATCCCACGACTCGCCGACGTCTTAAGCTTTCAAATGCAATTAACAAGTCAGGTCCGTATTTAGGAACTACTCGCCCGCACATCATAAAAAAAATTTAAAACATTCTGCCAAATAATGGCCACACCTTATGACTTAAAAATGACCGCGCACGTAACGTATGCCAGGAAAATGGTTTTACTTCCCTGATATAAACTTCAGAAAGGCAAAGATATTGGTAAACACCTTCTCACGTTTAACTATCCTAATACAAATCGCAGTGTCATCAGAGATATGATTCATATGCCACACTAGTGTCCTGTTTCTTGTCAGAGTTTGCGGAAACGGGCATTGGATAATCATGTAGATGTTACTGCAGTGGACTCTGACACCAACGACCAGTACATAAATTGTGGAATAGATTGCAAATAATAAATGATTCACTGCTATATAATATACAATTTCTTTCTCTTGACATTCATATTTGTTTAAAAAATTGTCGTATTACTTCCACAGAATAAAATATTCTTATGTATTATGCTCTGATTATGATACAAGGTACAAACTTGTATCAGTATCGTATGAACGCAAGGAGGTGTAAAATTTTTGTTTTTATATCGAATGTTTCTTTTATTCGTTTTTAAATTAATTAGTATAAGGATTCTCCATTTTTGTTGTATTAGGGTCACTTAAATGCAAGACAGTGTAAAGTTTATTGGCACTTATTATGCTCTCCTGATAAAATCGTCTAATTTTTCTGCCTTTCTTCTTCTTGGGCGTTATGTTGTCCTAATAGATATTTCTGTTGTGAATATGATGTATTAGTATTGCTGAAACAAGACAAACTTCTCGAGTATTATACTATCATGTTCACCAAATACAAACTTCCCCCTATCAAGGCCACAGAAAAAGAGGAAAACGCAACTTGGATTTCTATACAGGGTGATTCCTATAGTACCTGCCACCGTTTGGGAGCGTGTAGGTGGTGCGTAGGGGAGTATTTTGATATAGGACACTTGGGGTCGGAAATCTAAAATAAGGGTACCAGAGCCAAATTCACCTTCTGGAATTTCGCGCCTGTAGGTAGGCAACCCAATCGGCCGGCGGTGCACACGGATCGATCTCAGGCGGCGATGTGTGGCTGACACTTGATCAGAATTTTGTTTAAACCCACGAAATCCCGTCTGCAACGACGCGTATCAAGTGAATAAACAGTATGGCAATAGTATAATAATAGTTGGCTAGATGTAGGAAGTGCATTGAGAACAACGGTGGCCACGTTGAACACTTGTAAACGTTATTGCTTTTGACTGTCGTTTTCCCTCCTTCCCTCCCATGTCGCTTTCTCGCGCTAACTCGCTCTGCATCGCTCCGCGCGAAACGTCGGTCGGTTGGGTTGCCTACATACAGGCGTGAAATTCCAGAAGATAAATTTGGTTCTGGCGCCCTTATTTTAGATTTCCGACACCAAGTGTCCTATATCAAAATACTCCCCTAGGCACCCCCTATACGCTCCCAAACGGTGGCAGGTACTATAGGAATCACCCTGTATAGGTACACCATATTTGGATTTTGGTAAATACTCTGAATTGCCTGAATTTTACGAATTTTTCAAAATCTCGTTTTGGTCTTTTTTACATCTTCACTGAATGCCCTTATTTATTTGTATGGATCTTTAAAATCTTTCAAAAGTTTCTATCCTTGTCACGTGTGCAATATTCTATATTCCACTAATATTGAAATTATATCTACTACAACAGTATTTAGACGTTGATTCTGACTTTTATTTTATAAAATATTGACAAAAAACTGAGAAAGTGTAATGAATCAAGCTAAATGTTGAAAAATCCAAGATAATAATATTAGAGAAGAAGGGGAGGATAGAATAGATGTGGGCGCAAGAATGAGTTTAACTTGAGAAAATACACATACCAAAATGGTACCCAATACAAAAAATGGGTTGAACCATTGAATAAAAGATAAAATTAAATGGTTGAACGCAATTTAGTGAAATCAACGTTCATGATCACGTTATTTTTATAACTTTGCAAAGTAAACTGTTGTAAATTGTAAACACTAACATTAAGCTCTTTTTTGCAGGTTTATCCATTCCATGCTAGTGGAAGAGATTAGCTGAAGGCCTTTATTCTTCAGTTTAAATTAAATTGCAAGAGTAAACCGAGTTCTACATTGAAGATCATGGTGCCTACCAGTGTTATATTAGAAACTTTAAGAAGAATATCATTATTATTTAAGTATTTTATTATCACTCCTATGCTAGTGAATTAGACGCTTAAGACTATTACTATTATAGAAAACACAGTACTTATTCAATTTTAGATAGGTAGTCGTATAGGTTATCATTACAAGTCTGTGATGGTGAATATGTAGTAGATGATTTGGGGTTTTTAGACGATACCTATAACTCATAAATGAAAGTGGCATCCTCTTTAAATCGTTTCTTAAAATGGAGGAATTCGTACAGGTGCCATCGAGAGTTTTTAAGTACTAAATCAAATATGGGTTACTAGTTTTTATCGCATATGAAATGCTTGTATATCGTTAGAAATTAAAAAAATGCAACAAGTTCAATGCTACACACTGTGGTAACAACTTCCCACTGTAACATAATTTTATTTTAAATTGATTTAGCGAAATATTTATGTATACTTTTATTCCTACATGTTGTTAATTGTTTTCGAACGAGGATGTACTATCAATAACAACTATTTTAATAAAACTTTGTTAATTTAATTTAATTGTTCGTTATTATTTTTCCAAGTGAAGCATGGATTATTAAAAAAATTATTCTGGCTAGACATTTTTTTTTAATTATCCATGACAGAGTAAGACATTGATCAATTTAAACAAATCATTTGTTTAGTGCTTATGATTTGTCGAATATGAGAGCTTCACAAACGTATGGCTTTCAATCTAAAACGAACCGTCCTATACAAGGTGGTGACTTGCGTAACGCATCATAGGGATTTCAATGTAAAATTCATAACATGCGATTATTGGCTCCCTAAATTATTTTAGAGCAAAAATGTATGATGGTTTTTTGTAGAAAAAATTTTTTTACGCCAATCAACCGTGTTAGTTTTCAATTTTTTGCATAATAAAGACGGAAAATTGGAAAAATAAAACCCGCATCTTTTTCAATAATCTGTGTTGCCATGGAATTTTATAATACAAAAACTACGCCAATATCCGACATGCCATGGAATGTCTAATTACTAAAAACGGTTTCCTAATATAACAATTTACAATAAATGTTCGAATAAGTCACCATTAACTGCAAGACAGTAACGAAGTCGATCATAAAATCCATTTCGAACTGCTGCTAGTTGATAACTGGATATCTTTTTGTTTTAGAAAATTCCATGGCATCGCAGATTATTGAAAAATATGCGGGTTTTATTTTTCCAATTTTCCGTCTTTATTATGCAAGAAATTGAAAACTAATACTGTTGATTGTCGTAAAAAATTTTTTTTACAAAAAACCTTAATACATTTTTACTCTAAAATAATTTGGGGAGCCAATAACCACCCTGTATAATGTATTTTACTAAATAATTATTGAAAATCAATTTTGTTAAAGTGTTGTACAGGTGTCTTATGTAGTCACTAGTAATTATCCTAGGGATCCCCCAAACCGGCACTGCAATTTTGAGTTACCCTATACTTTTAGTTTGAAAACGATTCGAAACGGCGGACTTTTCGCGGCACTTTTGAATCTCGGTAGCAGTCGGCTAGGCCCGGATGGCACGAATAGGTCCTACGTTGTGTCTATTATAGCGCGCTCGCACCTCAAGACGATAGTGCTTATGGACATACAGGACATGCTTGCCAAACTTAACAAACGTGAGAATGACAGCACAAGGAGATCAATTATATGTCAGTTTGGCATCATTGCTGAAGGCATTTATGAGTTACGATCGCACTGTTTTTTAAATGTTGGGATATGAGACACAATCGGGAAGAAAATTGAATAAAATGCAGAATGTTGTGCGTAAGAAAAGACAAGAACAAATAGAATACGAGTATATTACGCACACAACAAGGACCAAGGTGATACCAGGAAGCTCTTTTATGGACAAAAACATGGCATAGGTAACCCATGCAAATAAAAAAAAATCATCGACGACAATAAAATGCAAAAGAGAAAAAAATCATACAATAGAAAATCATGGACACATCCACGAACCATTTAGGCAAATGGGTCGTTTAGCCTAGTTTTTGTCTCGTTTGGGAGTTGCGGCCAAAAAAAACCCAAAATTTGCGTTTTCTGTCCATCAACCGCAACACATAGGATGATTGAACTAACCAATCAAAAATTGTTTTCTAAAAGACCCTGAACAAATTTCGTTAATATCAAAATTACCTTTAGATATTAAAGATAAAATCACTAGATATAGAAAGTACCGCAATCCATTGGGCTCGTGTGTTAGAGAGAGAACGCATGAGTTTTGCCCAAAAATGGCGGAAGTTACCAGATTCTAGTAACTTTAATGTTAGGGATTGTTCCACCTGTTTGGAGATATCTGTATATATTTTTATAAAACATGACAGTAGGTACTATGAAGTTAGGTTATAAAAAATGACAGCTATTCAGATTTTATTTGTCAATTTTTTTAAGTTGGCAGCAAATTTGCCCAAAAATGGCGGATGATTGCGGTACTTTCTATATCTAGTGACTTTAATTAAAGGTTTAAGAGTGCGCCATCTAGCAGCTGGAAGTTATTTTACAAAATCGGAAAGGGAATGCCAATCGACCTGGGAGATCCAACATTTTATGTGCTACTGTTTCTGAAGAAAGAATTAAGGAAGAAACGCAAAGCGTGGAGCTTTCGGAGGCCTATCCCTTGAGCGCAAAAGTATATTGAACCGAATATTTTAATTACCAGTTGACCTGTAACCTAACCCCAAAATCGAACCTTTTCGACATGTGTACTAGATTTTACAGATCCCTTTATTTGCAAAACTGAATGAGTAGGGACATTTTAATATGTTACACCTACTATATACATAGAGATATCAAACTCGGTGGGTAGGACCCGTTATCGGACCACATTTACTTAGATAAGTGAATATGTACTTACTTTCCCCATACGTGCATCTCTGTTTAACTTAGGTGCTTAAGGTTCCAAGTATAGATAAAAAAGAAAAAGGAATTTCGGGGGTCCCCGGTGTGCTAAAAATAAACTTTTACGTTCGCCATCTTTCGTTTGTTCTCGATTAACGACCTTCGTCTTAATACCAAACGCGATTATGTATATTGTTATTAATAATTTCCCCGAACCGCAAATCTAGTCGCGCCTTTGTCTATAAACAATTCATTACGCGCGCAATGATGAACGAAAACAATAAACAATTGTGTGTCTTGTGCCAGAATTGCCAGAGTTCGAACAACGAGGGCTCAGCATCAGAAACTTCGGAATCGTGCGTGTCAAAATGCCAACAGTGGTTGGAAAGTTGCAGTTTAAATGACGAGACACGTTCCGAATCGTCGTGTGGATTAAGTTCGAGCATTTTTGAAAGGGCGGATACCGCGGATGGCGACTTTTATCAAAATGGGATCATTTACGACCGTGGAGTACTTGCTTTGTCTGTAAGTATAATAGGTAACTAGATACAGGTGTACTGTCATAAGTGTCACTTCAATCGGTTTTTAATTACCTGTAGTATCTATACTTATACAAATATCGTACAGAGCAACCGTAACATACATAGAAGGGTTTTCCAGTACCTACGCCTGTTATGGTTTGGTAAACCCTTTTCAAAATTTGTGTAAAACTAAACTTAATTTCAGAATTTTCATACTCAGTGATCCCCTTGTGGACCCTTTATTATATAATTAATATCTTCACAAAAATGTGTGCCATCTTGGGGTAGCAAAGTTGTCAAAATGTTTACAAAATCAAAAACCTAGGTAAAGACGCTAGCTCCATTCTCCTGTGTGTTATAGTAACATAAGAAAAAAAATTTTTGGACAAATTTGCGATTTTCAAAATTAAAAGCTATCACCAGAATAGTTCTTTATTTACGGGATTGGCCTCTGGGATTGCACTACGAAGAAGAAATGCTGCAGAATTAAAATTTGACAACTTCGGTTACTTGAAAACCATAATAAGGGGCCTATTCTCTAACGTGTAACGATGTCGTTACACAGCGGTTATCGTTCGGCAACAAGTATTCTGTATGACATATTAAGATATAACAGTAATACTGAGAATAGCTGTCATTCAAGATCAAATCGTTACCATTGCGTTATCGTTGGTAACGACAATATACAGACTAGACCCCTAAATGTTTAAAACTGCTGTGTGTATGTATAAAAATTACTCGTTGTCTAATTTAAAGAATGCTAACGGCGGCTATGTATACACATATTCTTTTTATCCCTTTTTCCGCCTAATTTTCATACATACTTCGCATTTGGTCTGAAAAGTTCGTAGGCTGACACAAATGGTGTTACTAAAATCAAATCAAATATGAGTTTAATTTATGATAAACGATACGTAGGTATGTATTTTGACAGCTGTTTGACAATTGGTCCGTGATATATAGGGTGCTTAAAAACTCCAATTAATGAAGATATTAATTCAATGACAAAGGATTGTATTCTGTAGACACAGCATTTATGTAGACGCCTAGGTACATACATGTTAAATTTTCCCGAAAAGTAAACGAAATAGGTTGGTAGCACTTATAAGTAAAGTTATCCAAAATATGTTGTGGATTCCAAAAATCTAATAAAAAGTAGGGTATTCCACTTAACAGAATCAAGTTAGGTAGCGCCACCTATCGCCTTTAATCTAAAAATGTGTTATCACAAAATATATGGCCCTAGCTTACATTTATAACAAAGTTTTTAGAATTTTAAAATCTGCATTCGTTCCCGAGATATCGCCCTTTCCCATTCCTCGCTGAACATTGTATAGTGAGCGAAGGAATTTTTGGTATTATAAAAAAAATGTAAAACGTTGATTTCTGGTGAAAAAATACTGTTGAAACTAAAGCCTGGCTTGATAAGCATTATTCGGACTCAACTGTTGAGCAGTGGTTTGCTCCATTTAAATGGGGCACAAAGTGGAGCCCTGAAAGAGGCTGTCACAGACAAAAACATAAAAGAAGTTCACACAAATATTAATAGTTAACATGCGAAATCTGTGTGCAGAGGCGTAACTGCGGGGGTGGGGAGGGGGGGGGGCACGTGTCCTAAGCGCCAATTATTAATTTTTTTTAATCAAAATAAACCACAACAAACGACATAACAAATAATCCGATAGAGTGAGTAGTGGGCGCAAGGGGTGCCGAAGAAGGATGCACTTGCTCTATGTAGTTTATTATCGATCTTCGAGATCGTTTATAATTTTGTATTGCCGTCTGTCTGTCCGTCTGTCGGTCCGTCTGTCCGTGTGCACGATAACTTTGTGTAGAAACGTCCGATCGCTTTGAAAATTGATACACATGTTCTTCAGGATCGCTATTGTTTTTTGGCTATGTAGACCAACGGGTCAAAAAATTACAGCCCAAAAACTGCCCAAACTTCCAAAAAAGGTTTCTTTTATAACTCTTGTTACAAAGAACATATGAATGTCCGGTTTTCTGTGTTAGTAAATATTCCTTAAACCTCAGGCAACTATACAGATTCAAAACAAGTATAAATTATGCACAACTCTCGTGCAGATAAAGCGCATTTTTTTAAACCGAAATAGCTTTTGTTTTGGCATCACCAATGCATATTGTTCTTGCACACGTCTCAATCGCCCTTTGTGAGTACCCTCTTCCGACAATCCGTACTTTGATAAGAGGACATAAAGAAGGGCAGTAGTTGGTAGAAAACGGTTCCTTTCGTTGAGACCTTTAATTAAAACACAATGAGAGATAAAATTAATTTTTAACCCCTCCCCCCAGACTCCGTCGCTCGCTGATCTCAACAAAGAGTCGCACGGGAAAGTTATAGTTTGTACAAACCAATTTATTTCGATGAGACTTCGATGAGGCTAGATCATGTGTTCCCCCCTCCCCCCCCCCCCCATTTTCTGAATTGTAACTTGGCACCACTAAAAGCATGCGTATGTAAAATCTGAGACCAATTGGTTGTCGTATGTAAAAGTTATGCACGTTTTACTTTCAAAAACATCATCTCACGAAATAATTCGTGGGGGGGGGGGGCTTTTAGACAGCGAAATTTGATGGCCGTCTGGCACTTCAAGGTATAGGATACCTACTACAAACATTCCAGGACTCTAGGACCATTCCCCATTTATAACATTTTGGGCCTAACTTCTTTGACTTGTCGCCATTCCCATTGCCCTTACCATGACTATTCCCCTGCTTGGGTTTGTTGGGATTATTTTTATTGGCCAAATAGGTAGCATCCTCAATAGACCTATTTGAGAAGCTTCTATCATTCAGCCACTGCTCAACAACACATAACCTCCCCCTAATGTAATCCGACGTTCGATTTTCTTTAGCTAGTGACTTCCAAGCATTAATAAGTGAATGGTATTCGGCAGGAATCGTGTTCAAAACCCGATTCAGGAACAGCGAATTGGCAATTTTATCGTGATGTCCTCCTTTAAAGTATCGTTTTGAATGTCCATAGCTTTTCGAGATTTTGCAACGTGTTTTTCAATCGAATCCTCAGGTTCCTTTTTCTCTTCGTCCAAAAGAAATGACTTCTGCCGGTAGCCGTGCAGGGCGTTTTTGGAATTGGATTTGATAGAGAAAATGTGTTTTTTTTTTACATTTAAAGTGTAAAGTGTAAAGAGAATCTTCAAATGAATGGATACAATCTGATTAGTTATAAAGTTTTGTATAAATAAATTTCCGTACACTGTTAGTAAAATTCATTTGCACTAAGCGAGAAAATTCGAAATTTTAATTCAATGAAGGGAGGGTCAATCCCTTTATTGCAAAAAGCCTATTGCACTACACAGAAATTTATGCGCTTTGGTTTTTGCTTTTCTAAAAATTCCTGAAAGCACAAGTAACATTGTGCACGTTGTTTCAGGATTCGTCGGGAAAAATTGAAAATTACAAAGCCGCTTCGAATCAATATCAAAATATAATAAAAGATTGCAAAAATGTCTTAATAGGTAACCTCACTAAGGTCTACGGCACTGTTAATATCATAAAAAATGAATCTAACACGGTGAACAATATGGTCACAAATAATATCTTTTTGAACGGAATCGCTGGTAAGCCGAAGATATACTGTGTGGAGCAACAACTGACAATATAAATTTTTAGAAATGGCTCCTACGAAAAAAGTGAATGTTGTTGCAAGGAGGAACTGGGTAGCACAGTTTCCTATAGACCAACCAGTCCCGTTAGCATCCCCCGCTAAGCTTGTCATCATTGGTAAGTCCCACAAACAAATGCCTAAACCAGGCGTGGGCAACCCACGGCCCGCCGATAGGTTTTGTCCGGCCCGCTAATATAATTCATAGTTAGGTAGTACTTCATAGGGCTCACCAGTTTCAAATTCTAATTAATTAATTAATTAATATGATTATGTTACACGTGCAGCATCTAGTGGACGTGATCCGAAGCTTCCAAGACGTTTGAAAGCCTAGTTAAAGATGCATTTATTGTTTCAGAGATATCGCCAGGTATTTTCCAGAATTTTCCTCGCGATAATACCGGGTGGGGCAATACAACGACACGTGATTTAGGGATTAAGAATCTTAAGAGCATAAATGAAAATTTGGATACAAACTGAATATGGGGATTTATTATCCACATCTGGCAAATTTTGTTTGCAAAATCGTGTCAATTTTCAGGAGTACTTATTGATTTTTTTTTAAATAATTTTTACGAAAGCAAAAAATAGATGAAGACCAAAAAGAAATAGATACTTACGTATTGATTTCTTTAAACATACTTTTTATTTGGATTTTCAAGTGTGGCCCGTGGCGCATATAAAAAATTTTATTTTGGCCCCTTGGAAAAAAAGGTTGCCCACGCCTGGCCTAAACAATACACACTGTACGATTTTAGCACATACCGCAACAGAACAAGCACTTACGCAGGCTGAAAATGTATTGCTTGTTCGTAACATTCAGACCTTTCATATTGAAAACAGAGGATGGAATGATATTACGTACAACTACTTAGTAGGCTGTGATGGACTCACTTACGAAGGACGTGGCTGGGGGATCATAGGTGCTCACACTAAGGGTTATAATGATATATCGATTGGAATTTCTTTCATCGGCTGTTTTTTGAGGACACTTCCTTCCGAATCGGCTCTGCAGCAGGCCAAGGCCTTAATTCAATGGGGCGTTGAGGTTGGAGCAATTGATAAAGACTACGTCTTGGTTGGACACCGTCAGTGTTTCCCTACGGAAAGCCCTGGAAGGCGCTTATTTGAAGAGATACAGACGTGGAATCATTGGAGGAGCACTGTTCCTATATAATTGTACTAAACAAAGTCACCGAGAGGATGCCTATTCAGAATTTGTTAGTACGAAAACGTGGAAAGGCTCTACAGTGATATTCATGTAGAAGTAGACATAGGGATTTCCTGTACGAATTTCCTATGTCTACTTTTACATGATAAAAAGTCTCTTGAAAGACGCGTAATTTTATGCAACCAAA